ACGCAATAAAGATTTAAGTGAGTGTATCAATACATTTTTTTTAAAAGAATGGTTTAACACCCTCTCCTCCTAGCTGGAGGAAGTTCCTGCCATGAAATTAATTGTTCCTTAAGGAAACCAATCCTCTCTGTGTGTGAAGTTGTTGTCTTTGGCCCTGACCTAGGAACAAATAGACTGAAAAGCATGGTTTTCATTATTATAGCATATCGCCCAGGCAGAAGTTAAGCAAATTTGACTGGTAAGCTGTTTTGAGAAAAACTAGAACCTTTTAAAAAGCATTTTTTTTGTGAGAATGCTAATGATAGAATTTATTAGAGAATTTTTCAATTGTCTTCTGAAGTGAAGTATGACATGCTAAAATTAAAAATGTTAGTAAATGCAGATAAACAGAAAAACTTAAAACACTTGAAAAACTTAAAACATTTCTAATGACTTTATCCAATCACAATTAACATTTTAATGTAATTTTTTATCACTAATTTTTCTCTTTGCAAAAACTGAAATGCTTTTCCTCAATCATTTACTTGTTCCTGAGCTTAGCTCACACTTCTTTGGGGCACCCTTTTTAGACAAAGCACTAATGGGGTCCTGCCTGCATACAGGTCTCTGGCCCAGGCACTGTTTTTACATGTGAGATGGATTCTCCTTCACCTTAGGTATTGCTGCATACCCAGCAAGTACTGAGGCTCACAGCTTCCGCAGCTCTACCATTCACATGCAGGTGGTCTGAGGAAGTGCACCACACCCAGGTGTCCTGGTGAAATGATGCCATATGTAGTGCTAACTAACTTTTGTAGAATTTACTTGTGACCACTATGTTCTGTGAAAGGCTTAAAATGTATTATAGACAAAGGGAAGGTGTGAAATAAGATTTTTAACAGGGCACAAGACCTGAGACTAATGAGTCAGGAGTGGGGCCAGTATCTGAGGCTCCATGAATTGAGTTAAGGTGATAATTACTTAAACAGTATCGACTGACAGGGAAGTACTTTGGAAGGGACCCCAGAAATCTATACTCCAAAGCACAAACATTGTGATGGTTTCCTTTTGATAAGATGTTGTGGGCCCTTGTCATTGATCTCCTATGTTCCTCCCTCCCACAGTGATGAGTCACCAGCACCAGCAGCAAATGGCACCCAGTACCCTGAGCCAGCAGAACCACCCTACTCAGAACCCAGCAGCTGGGCTCCTGAGTATGCCCAACGCGCTGACCACTCAGCAGCAGCAGCAGCAGAAACTCCGGCTTCAAAGGATCCAGATGGAGAGAGAGAGGATTCGAATGCGTCAAGAGGAGCTCATGAGGCAGGTATGGTCTTCCAAGGTGCTTGGTGGCGCTTTGTGGCCTTTGTTGCCAAAGCTGTTGGCTAGGTAGCTGCTAGCCATTAGGGTAAATCTTCCTCTAGAAGCATTAGAGGCCCAACACCCTGCTCCAGACCTCTCAAGTAGAATGAGTTTCTTGTCCCAGCCTCTGCCTGCACTATCTGCAGAGCCACCTGAGAACAGGACTAACTACACTAGCATGGCTGCCTTTGGCTTTTGCTAGCTTTAGAAGGAGAGAAGGAATATATTCCAATTATCTATTGCTTTGTAACACGTTATCCCAAATTTAATGACTTCAAACAGTAGCCATTTTATATTACACACATCTTGGGCCTGGAATTTAGGCAGGGCTCAGCTGGACTGCACTTTTGCTCTATGTGGTGTTGACTGAGGTCACTGAATGGTGTTCAGCTGGTGGACAGGCTAGTCCGGAGGGTCCCAGATGGCGTCGCTCAAGCGTGTGGCACCACAGTCAGGATTGCTGGAAGTGTGCTTAGCTGGGACTAAAGCCTGGAGCGTCTACCTATGGTATCTCTAGTATGGCTATCTCAGAGTAATGGCACATATTACATAGCAGCTTGGGTCTCCCCAAGAGAATGTTCCAAAAGACAGAAAATGGAACTGGCCAGTGTCCTTAAGAGCCTGGCTCTGGAACTCAGAGTCACGTCTGCCATATTCTCTTGGTCAAAGCAGTCACAGATTAGAGCAGGTAGCAGAGGATGCTCTGTGGAAAAATGACAAAGAATCTGCGACCATATTTGATCTGCTGTGGAGCATGACAAAGAGGGGAGGTTGAGGGAGAATGAGCAAGGAAAATGGTTTGCATGTGGACTCTGGTAGAGTGGTCTGCAAAGCTGTCTGGGCATTGATCATTCATTTATTCATTCGATCAGTCAATAGACTGCTGCTGTGTGTTCTCTCTAGGTCAGGCTCAGGGCTGTACCTCAAAAACTGATTAAGGAGAATCCCTGAAGGAACCCATGTTTCCCCTGCTTCTGTGGCTTGGCCTATCCAAGACAAAACATGAGCTGCTAAACTAATGCAGCACATGTTTTCTGGTCTCATAAATTTTGCTGGCTACATTTTGGGGAGGAAAGCTTCATTTATTGTTCTAATTCTTCAAACTTTGCTTTATGACTCCCATGAAGCCAGATACACGAGTAGCTTCCTTTCACTGGCTTTTAAGGAAGTAAGAAGTTATAATTGGTTTAGAGAGCTTTCTTGCAGGGAACTGGGGGCATTAGGGTAAACACTATTTTCTCTTTTAATTACAGCTGATACTTTAAAAAATATATGTAATCTATTTCTCATCAAATAAATTAAAAGATATAAAGTATCCAAGCTGCATGAGGTTTTAAAAACATGGTAAATTAAAATAATTCCTTAGAGCCTTTGAAAATGAGGGAAATGAACACAAATTGTGCTTTTTGTTCATTTGAACTGTTCCACTGAACTCTGTAACTACAGTTGTGCCTTTACTCTGAGGATTTGTGTCTGAACTCATAGTTATTTCAGGTAACAGTTATTTATGTTGTTTTGAGATAAACAGTATCATGTTTCTCAGAAGGGAAATAATTACATTATTGTTTTCTGTCTTTGGATAAGAATTCCATTTGGAATAATTTTTCTATTTAATAATGTAGAACAAATTAAACAGTATTATTTTAGGAACATTTGTAAGTTTCCTGTTAGTTTTATATTTAAATGAGCTTTACTGAGTTTTTTCCCTTAGGCAAAGCCATACCAAATGCTTGTTTCTCAGTTTCTGCCTCTTTCTTTGCTTCTCTTTCTCTTGCCCCAACTCCTTCTTTCCCACAGAAAGTATTTCTGAAAAGGGGTGGGGAAAAGTGCCCTAAATTGTTTCCTCTATTCCAGCCCTAAGTGCCTTTGAACCAGAATGTATTATTGATGGTTCCTATTACAGAAATGCCAACCAAGTTCCTTAATGCTGATCCCCAGAGGCTGTGGCATTTGGTGCATTTTGCTGCCTCATAGCGTGCATTCCATTGTGTAGGACAGGGAAGGAGAGCTGTCTGGATTTGCACAGAGGCTCACACAGTTCAGCTTTGACCGTGTGTGTGTGTGTGTGTGTGTGTGTGTGTGTGTGTGTGTGGTTAGAAGGAAGAGATGAAATGGATAGTTGATGTCTCATTACTTTTATTATGGAATATAGGAAAAATGGTCTGACGAGACTACTTAAAGCCATATAGTAGTTGGAGTGGTCTATAATAGTTTTCTGGGGCATTTGTCAAGATGCCTGATGGTTCAGGTGTGGATTATGTCTATCATCTTGGTGGTTTTTCTACTTGTTGTTTTTTGGTTTGTTTGTTTTTTGGTGTGTTTTTTTTTCTACTTCACTATTTGCACTTAAGCCAGGGCAGAGGCAGGGATGGATTGGCAGTAAAAGTGATATTTGGCTCAGCTGTTAGCTACCTTCCAGCATCTGGTAGAAATGTGAACTTTCCTCTCTTCATTGTGCCCCACTCTGATGTCCTCAGCATCAACAACTGCCTGCATATCCTTGGCTCACTGGGCAGTTAGTAACTCCTGCTCTCCCCATGCTTGCAGGATGACCCTGGTTATGCAGCCCATCTTCACTAGGTCCTTGTCCTGTAGGCATGCAGTTCTCTCAAGGGAGGCTTTGCTATGCTCTATCTCTGTATTAGGAAGGAAGCTTAGCAAATTTAATAAGTAGATGAATTTATTCCCCAATTTCTGGGAAATCATCACACTCCTGTATATTTTTATTATTCTTAGATATATGATAGATGTGAAAGCTCTTTATAAATTATGTGCTATATAAATATTCTGTTTCTTCTGTTCTTCCTTCTTCTTCCTCTTCTTGCTTCTTCCTTCCATGCCATTCATCTCTAGGCATAGAGTCTGATGATATTGTGCCATGGAGAAAACCACTTCTCGGTCCTCATTGCACAATCTAATGTACACCTCCCAATCCCAAGGGCTCAAATGTTAACTCATTGTCACTGAAATCATGTCAGGATATTAACAAAGTGGATTTGAGGAAAGTTTGACTTCAGTTCTAAAGTGAACCTCCATTATTACATAATGGAAAAATATTTTTCCTTCCTTCCTTTATCTCCTCAATCTTTTATTCAACCAACATTTATATAGTGGAAAATAATAAATGGGACATGGCTACCCTCAGGTAAGTTATATTTTAGCAGAGGGGACATGATGATTAAATCTAATCATTGTCCAGAGAGTGGATTCAAACACTTCCCTACTTTATGGAATCCAGGTGGCTCCCATCTTTGACTCTTATTACTGGAGCAGAGACCAGACACTGGCAAGCACAGAGGCTTATGAATGTGAGCACAGGATGCTTCTTTATTTTCTTCAGTGGCCCATAAGGCCAAGTTATTGAACAGCTACAGAATTAGGATCAAAGAGCCAATGAGGATTGCTATCTCCCCCAGGTAGGAACCTTCTGAAGTGAGGCAGTTTCATTAAAAATGGCTTGCTTCTACAATTAAACATTGGCTGCTGTAGCAACAGAGTTGAACTACTTGTATCTGATAATTGGTGAATTATCTCAGAATGTGTTAGGTGCTCTGAGTAGAGGGGTGCCACCAGCACCGGGGTGGGGATCCCAGGACACTACCTTTTTAAGAAAGTAGATCTTTCCCTGCTTTCAACAGGCATCTATCACAGACATTGTGCAGCGTGAACTTTCGTGAAAGACCTTCTCCACTGGTCCTGATAATGAGAGTTTGATTTTTGCTAAATTTCCCAAAAGGCTATGAAGCAGTTCTGGGCCCATCAGAGCAATGGCAACCCTAGAAAGAGCAATTTCAGTTAAAATTGTACTTCTTGGTATCTTCATATTTTTAGAAAAGGAATTAGAATTCAGTTTGTGGATATTTTTCTTTTTTTTTATTAAGTAGAAAGCTAAAGTTTTAACTTTTAAAAATATAATTGAATGCTTTGTTTTTTCCTAATTGAGACAAAATAAATCATTTTGCTAAATGAAAGAAGTCAGACCCCAAAAAGCTACATACTATATAATTCCATTTATATGACATTCTGGAAAAGGCAAACAATAGGGACAGAGGACAGATGAGTGGTTGCCAGGGTTAGGGGTGAGGGAGGAGGGCCTGACTACAAAGGGACAGCACTAGGGAATTTGGAGAGGGGTGGGTGATGGCACAGTTCTACATCTTAGTTTTAGTGGCTGTTTCACAACGGTATGTATTTGTCAAAACTCAAAACTGTATGTAAATAAGATCATAGCAAGCATAAAACACATTCATTATAAAAATATTTAACATACTCAAAAACAAGGAAGAACATCATCACTCATGCTCTTACCTAGGTAGAGTAACTATGAAGATGTGATTTCTTTCTAGTCTTTGTATGGATTTGTGTGTGTACTTTGTTATTTAAAACACAGTTACTAGCATATCACATTACTGTTTTGTCATCTCCTAATGTATTGGGCAGTCACTTCATATTCTATATCATGGAAATTGTGCTGTGACTTTGGTTGTGTCTATTCAAAGCTGCCTGGAATCTTTTCTACAGCAGGGCTAAACGTATATTTTAAGATAACATGAGCCACACCTGCCTACAATGACTATAGAATATTCTGTTGTTACAGCCTAAAATTCAACACAGTATTTACTCAGTATTATAAAGGACATGTTTGCAACTTTGCCTAATGAAGTGGAAAATTTTAGTAACTGGTAAGAAATTGAGAAACAGGCTTCTCAGTCCCTATTTGCCCGTCTGAGAGAACAATTCCTTTACATGGAAACAGACTCAGGCCTTTATCTGAAGAGAGTGTTTCTTTTCATGTGTATTATTCATTTAAATATGAAGCCAGGGGTATGAGTGGGGGCTTCTGTCTCCAGTATTTTAATCTTCCTGTCAGTCCCCAGGACCCCTTTTCAGGGTCTGCGTTGTTGAGAAACCAGTATTGTTCTCAAGCAAGCTCAGGACTGAGTTTACCTCCATCCTTTCCTTGAT